CCATCGCAATCAACAACATCCTTGAACAGCACAGAGAGTCTTATTCATGATTCAAACGTCTTAAAGACTGAAATGAATATCAAAAGACGTACATTATTAACACCGATGACATTTATTGTCTTCAAGGTCTTTGCATGGCATGATACTGCATTAGTTAGCCTTACACCCTGATCCCGTTAGACGCATCTCACCACATCCATGAGATGCTGAAGATCCGTTCTAATCCGGATCTTGACGGTCGTGGTACGGTATTAAAGCAACTGCATATGTCGATGATGAACGATACTACTTATGGTTGAAGTAAATCAAGGTCACCATGCGATTTTGTCATTACCTAAAAGAAGGGCGGTGAGGCACATCAGTGGGTAAAGCGTGCGCTCGTCCCGCTGAAGACCCGGGTTCGATTCCCCACATGGGTACAATGTGTGAAGCCCATTTCTGGTGTCCCCCACGGTGAAATTGCTGGAATATTGCTAAACACGGCGTAAAACTAAACTCACTCACTCACTCAGTACCTTAAAGATTTAAATCTTGTTGTGGGGTCACTTCCATCATGCCACCTGATTTTGATCCTTTGCACTTTTCCCATTCTGATGTTGTCGCCAAAATGATGAAATTGCATAACCTCATCCCTCATCAAAAGACCTGCCGTCTTAAAGTACGGAGTAAATCTTCCCTCACTAACTCTTGTCAATCAAACCAGCTTTAACCCCACCCATTGTCAGCAGCATTGACTTTAGGCTAGTATTATTTCAATAGCGAGATTAGAACGTGTAATGTCAACATGAACGTCATTATATGTCACACAAATAGGGGAGATTACAACGCCGCATGTTGTCTCTTTCTAATACACTCCTCCAATATATGTTTGCCAGACTTCGGATCAGCTATTCTATGAGATAGACCTTTGCGTTGCTGTCATAATAGGAACACTAATTAATACGGATTCCTGCAAGGTGAAGAAGACAGAGCTGACAGCCGCTGATCTAAAAGTTGCGAGTAAGCTTATTTCCGATACAAACTGTCACCCAGTCACTTCTTTTATCTGTATTCATATTGAGCGTTATTGGACTTACAGATATTACCTGTCTGTGTACATTAATACATATCCGAGGCTGTAGTCGTTATCATCATCATCATCATCATCATCGTTATCATCATCATCATTGTCGTCGTCATCATCATCATCATTCATAAAACTCTGTACGATATCCAAGGTTATCATCGTCATCATCGTCGTCGTTTTCATCAGCAGCAGCATTCATAAAACACTGTATGATTCTACTTTACCGAAGCACAGGTCGTATACTGAAACAATCATGGGATATTCAGTCTTGAGTGAGTGAGTCAGTGAGTGAGTGAGTTAGCATTATCGGGGGGTTGAACCGTATTCCATATAACTACGGCATGTTATCTTCATACGGGATTAAAGCCCGAGTGGTGCAAGTCTTTGGCACCTACCACTCACATGAAAAACCAAGAGACATACTCAGTGCCAACCAGGGACACGAGCACATGATCATATGTTCCCTGCATGTCTAAGGGAGGCAACTCTACACTGATCCACCCGTGTCCCTCAACAGCTCCACAATCACAATCGTCTTCGCGGGACTTCCGGGTTGAATAGGCCTGTGAAGATCTGGGGGGTTAGAATTGATCTTCAGTAACCCACGTTTGTCGTAAGAGGCGACTAACGGGATCGGGTGGTCAAGCTTGCTGACTTGGTTGATACATGTCATCGTAACTCAACTGCGTAGATCGATGCTCATTATGTTGATCACTGGATTGTCTGGTCTAGACTCGATTATTTGCAGACAGCCGCCATTCAGCTGGAATATTGCTGAGTTCGGCGTTAAACAACCAACCAACCAACCAGTCAATGCCAACTTGGCACACAACCCCATGATCATATGTTTCTTGCAAGTCTGGGGCGGTGGGGTAGCCTAATGGTTAAAGCGTTGGCTCGTCACGCCGAAGACCCGGGTTCGAATCCCCACATGGGTACAATGTGTGAAGCCCATTTCTGGTGTTCCCCGCCGTGATGTTGCTGGAATATTGCTAAAAGCGGCGTAAAACCAAAGTCAGTCAGTCAGTCAGTTCTTGCAAGTCTAGGGGAGGCAACTCTGCACTGGTCTTCGCGGGACTTCCGGATGAATAGATCCCCAGCATCATTCAGTATTCGTAAGATTCAACTGCATGGGTCGGATGGTCAGGTTGTGTGGCGTGGTTGATGAGTGTCATCGTACCCCGACGGCTGGAGATGATACTCATGACATCAATCACTGGATTATCTGGGTCAGTCTCAAATATTTACAGGCCTTGGTCAAACGGAGGGGGGCTGGGTAAAGCAACTCACAAACCTCAGTGCCATAATGTTTTCACCCGAAGAATATTCGCAAAGTGATTGCACATATTACATAATAAATAATAATAATATACTCTACACCCTTAGAAACGCACCAGCGGCGGTTTGGTAGCCTATTGGTCAAGCGTTCGCTCGTCACGCCGAAGGCCCGGGTTCAATTCCCCACATGGGTACAATGTGTGAAACCTATTTCTGGTGTCCCCCGCTGTGATATTGCTGGAATATTGCTAAAAGCTGCGTAAAGCTAAACTCACTCACTCACTCACTAGAAACGCACCATGCCCTGCTGTTGATTCTGTTCACTCTAACGTTAATGGAAGAAGGCAGGCACGGATATGAGTTACACTGATATCACTGATCAGTAATATAATCCTAAGATATCATAGTTCCGAGGCCCGAGAGTAATACCCTCTTTGTTATTTGGGGGCGGTGGGGTAGTCTAGTGGTCAAAGCGTTGGTTCGTCACGCCGAAGACCCGGGTTCGAATCCCCACATGGGTACAATGAGTAAAGCCCATTTCTGGTGTCCCCTGCCGTGATATTGCTGGAATATTGCTAAAAGCGGTGTAAAACCAAACTCACTCAGTCAGTCAGTCTTTGTTATTTGTGTCATCTTTACACTAATCGAAGATGAAGAATGTTCTCATCAATCACAGTGACTTCAGAAACAGTATATATGTGGGAATAAAATTAACCTCGCTGGTAATAAGTTTTAGTTACTCAAATAAACTTTCAGCCATATTTATGTACGTGGGATTTCGCACAGGAAGGAACCTGTATAATCTTCTGGGAGCATTATTAAAGGTTATTGAGCTGGTTGGTATCGAATTATTGAGCTGGTTGGTATCGAATCAACATCCAGAGTTGATTAAAAGTAGTTGCTGCAGGATCCCCTCATTTGCATATCTGTCGGATCTTGATATCAACGCTATTGATAATGTTATGTACATCACAATGTTGGAGGGGCGGTGGGGTAGCCTAGTGGTTAAAGCGTCCGCTCGTCACGCCGAAGACCCGGGTTCGAATCCCCACATGGGTACAATGTGTGAAGCCCATTTCTGGTGTACCCCGCCGTGATATTGCTGGAATATTGCTAAAAGCGGCGTAAAACCATACTCACTCACTCACAATGTTGGATCTTAGATGTTACTCTTCTTTCTATTAAACCTTACCAAATTAAACTGTATGCTTAAAACAATCATCCATTCTGCTCCCTACAAACCTTCGAGTAGTTTGAGGTTAAATGAAAACGGTAAAGTTGTATTAGAAGCTATTATTAAAAATTGCTTGAAAACGAGAAAAAAAGAAATCCAATAAACGAAAGCAATAAATCAAAGATTGACATGAAATACAGATATTTTTAATTTGGATGTTGAAACTTGAAACGCTTTAAACAGTTATAAGTTCATGTCACAGTTATGTTTGTCGGAAAGTTGCCATTGTTGTAAATAATCCGCATATTTATTTCAAATCATAGCATTTGGGAATTTACAATAATGTGAAAAACAATGGGACTGTCGGGAGGGGATCAGAGGGACTAGGCTGGATCAATGTGTCCATGTTTGGTTCTGTGTTTTCTTCGCAGTGACAATTTCCACAGCCTGATAGCATTCAACAGGTGACCAATGGCAAGCGAGAGCGTGGGGGGAAGAGGCCATGGGTGAAATCACGTCAAATCTCGCGGAATGTTGATGACAACTTTGCGAATCTAATCAATATGTATTGCTATCTTTTCCCGATCACTTCACAATACGTTCTGGTCGAAAGGTTAGCAATTCCAGAACAGCTACAAGACGGATTTTGGCTATTTTTTTCACAACTTGATTCATTGTCATTGTCTGTGGCTCACATTTACACTCTAAATTTTACATATTCGTCATCGCTCGTGTCTTTCCGTAACCGCGCGGGCCTTTCCTACATGCAAAGAAAAACACTCGCCGCTCTGCTGACAGATGTCGTGCTCGATAATACAAAGAACCAAGATAAAAGAAAGTACTTAGGTCAAGAAGCCCCTCTTTGATAAATCTTTTAAGTTTTGAAAACAAAAATTGACAGGAATTTTGCCCATATTTTTCCCAATTTCCCGACTGTTATTGCTTTAACTGAGCCATCCATGCACGAAGGCCCAGCTCAATAAGTTAACTGTTAATTATGGCAGCAGCGAGGTAGTCCAGTGGCTAAGGTCTTCACTCGTCCTTAATTAAACACGGGTTCGAATCTCCACTAGGATACAGTCTGTGAATCAGATTATTAGTGTCCACAGCGTGATTTGGCTGGAATTCTGTCACCAAATATGTAACTATAAAACATAAAACTAATCGTCACCAATATCAGCCACAATCCACACGATGCCACGTGGTCCCAAGTTACACGAGCATGGGGTAGCCTAGTGGTTAAAGTGTTCACTCGTGAAACCGAAGATCCGGGTCGATTCCCCACATGGGTACATTGTGGGAAGCCTATTTCTGGTGTACCCCGCTTTGATATTGCTGGAATATTGCTGAAATTGGCGTAAAACTAAACTCACTCGCTCACTACAAGCATGGGGGTACCACATGCTCTTGTAGCAGTTCTAGATAAAGATCATCTTATGTCAGTCGGTTTGAATATCTCATTTATTGTTCCCTATTTTCCAGGAAATGGTATCGTGCAGTAAATACATTCTCATCTTGGCATTCCTCCTCCTCGCGTGTGTGTCACGTGACTCCTCGGCAGCCATGATTCGTCCCTACCAGTCCCAACTAGAGGAGAAGGCACGACAGGTAAGATGTCCTAACCTTAGAAATGTATTCACAGAAACATAATGACCATGCCATGTAGTACAATAGGTCAGGCGATCGCTCATCGGGCGAGTATTAATTACTTTTGGGTTTAATCTCACTTCGGTTGACCAAGGAACTGTTAACGGTTTCGATCATTTGGAGGTTCAGTCGATGTAATATGCCATATGAATATACCGCTTAATCAAAGTAATGTATGCATTATCTTTCTCTGTATAAACCTTTATTCATAGACGTTGTCGCACCAAAACACACGCATACACCCAGCCTTAAACACATACCTACTCACTAACTCATGCATTCATCCACTATCTAACTCGCTCACTCGTTCACTCATCGACCCGTTCACTCATTCCTCCATTCACCATCCTTTCATCCACGTACATCTCAACTGACAAATAGCATGCTACCTCGCTCACCTACACACTCACTCACCCATCCGCTCTCTCTCTCTCTCAACCACTCAACCACCTACCGACCCACTCACTCACCCATCCACTCACTCACCCACTCACCCATCCACTCACTCATCCACTCACCCACTCACCCACTCACTCACCCTTCCGCTCTCTCTTTCTCACTCAACCATTCAACCACCTACCCACCCACTCACTCTCTCACTCACCCATCCACTCGCTCATCCACTCACCCACTCACTCACCCATCCGCTCTCTCTCTCAACCACTCAACCACCTACCCACTCACTCACTCACTCATCCACTCACCCACTGACTCACCCATCCACTCTCTCAATCAACCATTCAACCACTCATCCACCAACCCACTCACTCACCCACTCACTCACCCACTCACTCACCCACTCACCCATCCACTTACCCACTCACCCATTAATGTGCGATGCTGATATACGCAGGAGGTGATTCACCTGGCCGCCCGGATCATCAAGCTGACAATGTACGGGTCCCGGCTGGAGATGGCCAACAAACGTAATGGCGGAACACTGGACTCTCTCTTCAACCTGCCTGACCTCTCGGACAACGGACGTTAGTTGGTGAGTTGGAGCAGTAACTGCAGAGTCACTTCCTGGTTTGTGATACCTAGTAGTAGTAGCAGCAGCAACAGTGGAAGCAGCAGCAGCAGCAGCAGCAGTAGTAGTAGTAGTAGTAGTAGTAGTGGTAGTAATAGTGGTGTTGGTAGTAGTAGTTGCATAAACAAGTTTTTATTAATGGATAATGTTAATAGCTATTGAATCGCAGTGACCGGTAAGTGTGCAAGTCAGAAATATAATCAGTTGTCAACCATCTTCATTTGAGATTTTGAAAGGCAGAGAACATGATATACGTTTTAATTTAATGTCTCGGGCAACGATATTGCACGTCTTGTTAAAAGTCAACAAGTCTGTCTCTGTTTCGTAGTTGATGATTTCAGCTTGTAGAAGAGCTGAATATGATTGCTGTATTGTGAAAACATCAATTTCTTTAAAATCATTTTTATGCTTCTGTCATTTCAAATTGGGGAGTCTGTTTCATGTTGCCGTAGATGACAGGAATTCTGCTACTGCCCGTTTGTGCATGTATAAGCCTAAAAACCGGTGTGCTGGTTTATGTAAAGTGCTCAGCCCTGTTTCTTCTTGTAGATTAGTATAAACACAAAACAATGACTTACGTCAGTATCATAAATACATAACACATCAGTAGAAAAGCCCAAATATACATGGTTAAATATTATTATAAAAACAACAGCACGAAATCGACATAGCTGAGTTCGCCAGCAGGCGTAGCATGACATTTTTAAGTTTATGGAAACATAAAATGATTATATTTCTTGATTAACTAAATGCCTTGTAATTATTTGCAATTTGTTTATTGATATATATTACCAAAATATCCCGTGCTGTTCCTAATTTGAATTATGCACTATATATTAACATAATAACATACTAAGATGGCTTCGTTTACTCACGGTCTAGAATAATTCTCTACCCCATGAAGGGTTCTCTAGCTGTAGGTGAGCCCTGGCTAATGTGAGAGACAGACACGTGTTGGCAGCCATGTTTTTCAAGTACTCTCTGTCATGTCCAAAACGCTCTTCACCTAATAATATACATCAGACCAGATGTCCCCTTTGACTAATGGCATGTATGTCTTCCAGATGAACTGAACGCCTCCACAGAAATAGAAACGGACTTTGTTATTTACGACAAATGGCTCTTGTGACCTCTTGAGCGCCTGCTTCCTGTCTTTGACGTCACTTCCGGTTGAGACTGACATGTGCACCTGAGATGGCGATTGGATATCGGTGACGACCTCTCGGCTGACACCTGACCCCGAGGAATTCTGTTGTGTAAATAGCACTGACCACGTGACCACGTGAAAAAAGGTCACGTGTCATTTCATGGCATCACGTGACATTACTTGACATTACTTCAGACCTTTTATTTTTTCATCACTTGACAAGTATCACTAATGTCTTGAGAATAAACTGATAAAAGACTTCTATTCCGTCTGTAGACTTGTGTGTTACCGATATCTTTATCTGTGTTGATATGTATGCACTAAATGATGGCAATCAGATATATCGGCACCTGCTTAACACTGGCAAGTAAAGGGTAACAGTCACATTTCCATCTCATCCCACCGGGTACCCATTAAATACGGGGTAAATACAGGCATTTGTTTTACGTCTCTTACCTTAGTGGACACATGTAACTTGGGCTTCTGTGGGGAACAGAGCCGTTCCTATAAAAAACTGTCCGAAGTTAAGTTGTGGAAAACAGTTCATGGTGCATCTATTTTCCATCACCAGCGTTGCTAACCTCCGCCAGATTTGTGACCTGTGAGCGCGGCAGCGGAATTAGTGCCCGTAAAGAGGTCACGGCACTTAGCGAGACCTTAGTACTTCCGGTGACAAACAACGTTTCATACCTTTTCGAATGGTCTAATAATTGTCAGTTGATAGTAAGGAACCGATAATTCCTGCAGGAATAACAAATTTCCGATCTAACCATCCCCAAATTAGCCAACTATTACGGCTGTTAATAGCTGTGACAGCCAAGCATTGTTGTACACTTGGTCCGGTCATATTTGGCGATTGAGTAATTTGGAACCAGAACTGGTTCTTGAATCACCGGCTTGTCATCGGCAATCTAGTACCGGAAGTAAGCTGGGCCCCGTCTCCAATGTCGCAAGTTGGCGCGCGCAAAGGGAGCCGGGAATTAGCTTAGTATCGGAAGAAACGCCTCGTGAGAACTAAGGCCCTATACTTAGTCATATTTATTTATGTAGTTAATGATCAATCCTCAGGATCATAACCAATCTGCATGGACAGTCATCCACTAAATCCGATTTAGCGAATATTCCGATACGACGGACAAATCTTAATTATCTGTTTGTGTCGCGCCGCCGCAGTCGCCACCACTCGCCCGTTTCCGTAACCTTCCGTAAAGATTCTTCCCCCTGCCGATGATAGTTATGTGTACGACAAAATACGACAATTCGATCCGAATGTGCGTTTAGCTTCAATCACATCGGTCAATGAGAGGAATCATTTGTATTTATATTTTATATTGCTTTACGCCGCATTAGCAACTTTGCAGCTATTCGCTGCTATGCATTCGTATAATGTCCTTCAATATAGGACGGGTTCAATCCCCGACCGCGTCATACCAAAAGAGGTTAAAATATGGTACTTGTTGGTCCCTGCCTGGCGCTCGGCATTAATGGGTTCAACAAGGACTGGTCGGCTCGGAGTCAGTATAATGTGTCTGAGTGGGGTATTCATGCTTAACTGCGGCATGGTATCTCAGTGGGCTAGCACTATGAAACCAGCTTAAGTCTGGCCTAGTACAAGCAGCCGCACATACGCACACACACGCATGCACGTCGTCATATGAGCGAAATATTCTCAAGCACGACGTTAAACCCAACTTCACCTCACCTCACTAAAATATATCTTTACAAAGAGAGACATCTAACAGAAGTGAAAGATCTAAAAGAACTATAATATTTGGGGACCTGATGGGGGTCACCTTGCTCATGACATCAGCGACTTGTCTTTCCACCACAGTGACATCTATTGAGTAGCGCTGTGATAAACAACATTCACCTGCACTCACTGCAAATATGTCCTCCCGGCACACGTATTTATACATCAAAATACATTCTCTCACAAAAAGGAACCGGAAGAAAGCGTGCAACTCCCCTGTCAGTAGATGCCTAAGCATGCCGGGACTGGCGCAGTGATAAATGATAGACTGACTAAAAGCTGGGTTATGTGGTTTGGGCTGCAGGTACAGACTGTAGTGATTTTCCAGTGATTACCATAGAAACGTTGATAGAGACGTATACAACAGGGTTATTGATTATCCACTTGGGTACGATGGTGTCCCTTGTCACGATGTTGCAGGAATATTGCACAAAGCGGCGTAAAATCACACTCGCTCTTACAGCATCTTATTATTTTCCCTCCTTGTAATTTCAAAAGCTATGATTATGTGAAGTTCACGTCCGACAAATCTAAGGAAAATCTAGGTACACAAGTGAGGTTCTTATTGGTATGATTAAAGTATACTCAGTAAACTAATCCACTGATTCATGTCAGCCATACGACTATGCTTGTCGTAAAAGGCGACTAACGGGATCGGGTGGTCAGTTTCGCTGACTTGGTTGACACATGTCATCGGTTCCCAATTGCGCAGATCGATGCTCATGCTGTTGATCACTGGATTGTCTGGTCCAGACTCGATTATTTACAGACCGCCGCCATATAGCTGGGATATTGCTGAGTGCGGCGTAAAACTAAACTCACTCACTCACTCACTCACTCATGTCAGCCATATACCGGGAATATTGCTCAATGCGGCGTGATACAAGAAGCAACAAATTCGTATATACGTGACTGACTTCGTCGACCAATGCACAGAGCGTCTACCTGGGTAACAGAACTCCATACAATAAGACGATATATAAAAAGATATGTACAAAATAATGGCGCCATATGAATTTCCAGTCTGCTGCTCATGATGTTGACCACTGGTTGTCTCGTCCAGACTATTACATACCGCCGCGATGTAGCTGGAATATTGCTGAATGCAATGTTAAACAGTGAGTGAGTGTGTATGTTTAACGCTGTTTTTAGCAATATTCCAGCAATATCACGGCGGGGGACACCAGAATTGGGCTTCACACATTGTACCCATGTGGGGATTCGAACCCGGGTCTTCGGCGAGACGAGTGAAGGCTTTGAACTCTAGGCTACCCCACCGCCTTGCAATGTTAAACAACAAACGACCAAATTATACAGAAGTTTTCTAACGAACTATGATGTGGGTCCTCCGTAGCGGTGTATGAGTGAATGCTGTTTTACGCCCTCAACAACATTAAACACGAGCGTCATACATTGTACACGTGTGGAATCGAACGCGTCTTCCGGCAAGATCAGTGAACACTGTGCCCACTATCTCACCTCGACAAGAAAATGTAATACACAATCAGTGAGTGAGTAGGATTATATACCGCTCTTAGCGATATTCTACAATTACCGGGGCGGGGGTAGCCTAGTGGTTAAAGTGTTGGCTCGTCACGCCGAAGACCCGGGTTCGAATCCCCACATGGGTACAATGAGTGAAGCCCATTTCTGGTGTCCCCCGCCGTGATGTTGCTGGAATATTGCTAAAAGCGGCGTAAAACCACACTCAGTCAGTCAGTCAGTTCTACAATTACCACAGCAGAGGACACCAGACTGACTGACTGAGTTTGGTTTTACGCCGCTTTTAGCAATATTCCAGCAACATCACGGCTGGGAACACCAGAAATGGGCTTCACACATTGTACCCATGTGGGGATTCGAACCCGGGTCTTCGGCGTGACGAGCCAACGCTTTGACCACTAGGCTACCCCACCGCCCCGGAGACACCAGAAAGGAGCTTCACACATTGTACCGAATCGAACTACAGTCGAGCACCGTTGTCTCTATATTCATGGGACCAAGAAAAAATATCGAGTTATCCGAACTTCGAGACATCCGACCAGGGCATATCATCACATATAACTATGAAAAAAAAAAAACGCTTCTCAGTATGTTTTGATTCGAAACTATAATCCGTTATCAGTAGTGTTAAGTTGTACCAGTGAGTACTTCCTAGTTACATCCTTCTTAATTAGTCCTGATTAAATAACAAACAAGTGACACCTTCAACTCAATTAGCCCTAATTAGTTTACACTACCGCATCCCTTTGATTCATGCCGCACCGTGTGGAAACAACTTCAGTTCAGAGGGATATTTGCCCATGAAAGATAGGTGAATATCGAGTTTCTTTGCAAATATCGAGTTAAAATGGTGATTTTGCTTGTTGGGACCATAAAATTATATCGAGATATCCGAAATATCGAGACACCCGTATCGAGTTAAAAGATCTTGAATAATGATAAATTATGAATGATTTTGCCGGGACCGAGATGTTAAATCGAGACAGCCGAGATATCGAGTTATCAGGGTTCGACACAACGGTGCTCGACGGTGTACTAAGCTAACCCACCGCCTTATTAAACGATGACGATTGCCAGGTACTACTTATCGCGCATGATCGTTCCCACGTTCACTCTCTCACTACCTCAGATTGTAATTCGTGTCGAATAAAACCTCAGGTGATTTCTACCGACCATTATCAGATTTTGGTGCGGACTATTATAGGATTTGATCCTGTTTCTTTTCCTGCCACTCCAGCTGCATCACGACGGACAGGAGACACCAGATATGTGCTTTATATACTGTACCAAGGTAGGAATGGAACCTAGAGCATCGGCGTGGCGAGCAAACGATTTCACCACAAGGCAACCCTTCCGGTATCCAAGACATGAGTTAGTTTGTTTGCTTGTTTATTGCGTAACGCCGCACTAAGCAATATTCCAGGTCTGCAAATAATCGAGTATGGACCATGGACCAGACAATCCAGTGATCAAGAGCATGGGCATCGACCCACGCAACAGTGAGACAGTCCCATTATCTGACATACCCTTCATATATCCTGTCCTCTTAGTGGACAGCAATGACACGATTACAAGCGAAGCTTGCCGTAAGAGGTTTCAAACGGTATCCGGTGGTCAGTGTCGCTGACTTGGTTGACACATGTCACCGTATCCCCATTGCTTATGATGTTGATCACTGGATTGTCTGGTCCAGACTCAATTATTTACTGGCCGATGTCATATCATAGAATATCGCTGAGTGCGACCTTAAACAACAAGCAGCGATACGCCCTACGGTAATAGGGCAGATGTTTGTTTCAGTCCAGTCATGCAGCCGTACTACTGTGGGATACAAGGTGTGCGGCGTAAAACAACCAACAAAAGATGTGCAGCAGTGGAATTCAGTTCATGAGTGTAGTTTTACACCGCTATCCCAGTGATTTCATGCTTTCCCATAAAAAATCACCATCATCACCCTCCCCACAACGTTACCCGACCGCGTCTGCAGTGGTAGAAAGTGAATAAGGTGGTCCTTTGAGATTGCGGCTTGTAAGCAGCTTTTAGCAATATCCCAGCAATATTATGGCGAGGGACACCAGAAATGGGCTTCACAAGAAATGTGGGGAATCGAACTCGGGTCTTCGACTTGACGAGCCAACGCTTTAATTACTAGGCTACCCCACCTCCCTTGCACGTGCAGTACATATTTAGAACCCTAACAGCTAAAGGAGTAACTCTGCAAGTACAGAACGTGTTTCGCTTGTCCAACGTTATTCTGAAGAGCTCAAAGAGGAGTTCAAGAAATTGAATTATTGTTATTTTGCAGTTCAGTACCCGCCGTGATCAACTTCCTGTACATAAAAACTGACTGTAAAATTGTACTGAAACCGTGCCTTAACCTTTACGTGAAACTACCCCAACAGGTGAGAAAAACTAATTTAGCAGGGAGGTCTTTGAACTATTTCAATTTGAGGAAACGCACGTAAAATAAACTTTTACAGGACGTTTCGGTGGTAAAGGAAGAGCTGGAGAGGAAGAGAAAAATGATGTTCGTCTGAGACTAAGTGACATTCAGGCTTCAGTGAAGTCCTCTGCAACAGTTTGAAACATTACACTGCATGACCAGCGTTGAATAAAGACTTAATTCATCTTTGTTTATTTTTCCTTTGTTTATCATTTCATTTACAAAAAATACACCAAATACTCGATGCATGGTACTGTATCAATGCAGTAAACATGCGTTAAACAATGTCAAAGCACATTTGCATATGAGGAAGTTGCATTTCAATCAAACGATTATTCTGTCTGAATTAATGGTAGACTACTCCTTCTTATAATTTCCAGATATTAATAAGATAACAATACGTTATTGATATCATCAAACGTCAAACGATAACACTTCAGGTTTCATAAAAATGAAAGTTGGCCAAGCCCCCAATACTATTTAAATATAAAGCTTTGCAAACCACCGGGCTTACACGAAAAAAATGGCTTCCTACGCGTCTGACCACCTCGAATATACGTTTTCGAGCTTCTTGACATTCTTGTCTGATGAGTTCAATTGGACACACTCGCGTTGTTGACATTTTTCGAATGTCAAGGTCGTCGAACGTGCAAAACGTGAAAATGGTGTCACTTCATGTGACATCCGTGACAGGTGGTGTTATTTCGGGACATGCCGTTTACGGAAAGGGACGAGTAGTGACGAATGCGGCGAGATGAATAAACTTGGTCCCGTCTCCTCATGTCATATGCCACTCCAAATAGCCCCTGGAATAGCATTCAGCACGAACCTCGTGTGTTAAACAGCCAGTTTTAAAGAGCGCAGTGTCATGTTTGTTGAAAAACAAAAATATGTGTTTCACCCTCACTACGTTTCTTTTTTCAAAAAATATATTTTTGTAATACCCACTCCTACACACAACCCTCTCCCGTGGTTTGTATTTATTTTGTAACAAAATAGGCCTACATTGTGTCCTTGATATATTGATACGGGATGTGTATACCACGGGTGATAATAGCGTATCGCATCATGTTACATGCACGGAAGCCTTGCTGTGATATTGGAAAATATTCGGAGAAAGTGTTTTTCTCCCATCGTCGTGTTTTCACGTCAAGTTTTCAAGTCTGGATAATTAATTACCCGTTAGCTCTCGACTTTGTCAGGATTTGCCTGAAGCTTCTGTGAGAAATAGTGTCCTTGATACGTGTCGAACTTTGGACAACTATCAAGTACGGAAAGGTGGTGGTACCCGACCCTTGTTGGTTGTTTGTTGTTTGTAGTTTAACGCCGCACTCAGCAATATTCCAGCAATATGGCGACGGTCTCTAAACAATCGAGTCTGGACCAAACAATCTAGCGATCAACAACATGAGTATCGATCTGCGCATTTCTGATACGAATGCATGTGTCAACCAAGTTAGCGAGCCTGACCACCTGATCCCGTTAGTCGCCTCTTACTACAAGCATGTGCTGAAAACCCGTACCCAATTCTAACCAGGATCTTTACTGGTTCATCGACGATATTTGCTAGGCAAGCGAAATTTGTGCGTTTGTTGCTTGTTTCGTTTTCTCTATTTTCTGTGTTTACATCATCGGTTTGTGAAGTTTTTGTTAAATGTCATATTCCATTCTCGTCAATATATTTTGGCGGTTCCAGAGGTATAAAAACTTACTAAACACCTTTTTGCAACTTTGTGTAAATCATTACATAACAAACGAACACCTATTTTTTACCTTTACTCCTCAAGTAGTCAAAGGTAGTCATCGAGAGCTCAAACCAAACGCTGAATAATGCTAAAACAATTCTTTCTTTTCTCATTGTACAGTTTTCAGCTTGGAGTGTTGTGTCTAAGAGTCAGTGTTTAGCGAGTGAGTGAGTGAGTGAGTATGGTTTTACGCCGCTTTTAGCAATATTCCAGCAATATCAAGACGGGGGGACACCAGAAATGGGCTTCACACATTGTACCCTTGTGGGGAATCCAACCCGGGTCTTCGGTGTGACGAGCAAACGCTTTAATCACTAGGCTACGCCACGGCCCCTTTTGTCCAGCGACATATGTTCAGTCGGAGTGTATTGTGGCGGTATTTCTAACACTCATACAAAACGGAATTCAGTGAGGAGGTATTCTTAAATCTTGAAGCATTTGGTTATCAAGTCTTTGAACGGCATTTAGAAGTGATACACTTAAAGGACTGACTGACTGACTGAGTTTAGTTTTACGCCGCTTTTAGCAATTTTCCAGCAATATCACGGCGGGGGGACACCAGAAATGGGCTTAACACATTGTGCCCATGTACACTTAAAGGAGAGAATTTATGGATGTCAACTTCTTTATTTTGAGGAACACGACTTTTCGGAGTAATTTCTTTCTCCTTCACCAGGTGATCGGTCGATGTGTACCTCTAATACAAAGTGTTGATATTGCAGGCACCAGGAAACTAATTCTTCGTTGTCGCAAAGAACCAGTGATCTTGCCCCTTCTGGAAATAAAAGAAAGTGGGGCAAGTGACGACAATTATTGGCATGAGTATATTTGTATAACTTCACTTTTTGCTGAAGCCTTCATTTCACATTATTTTTGTTGAAGCCAAACAATGATATCATTTTTGTTGAAGCCAAATAATGATATCATTTTTGTTGAAGCCAAACAATGATATCATTATTGGTGATACCAAATACTGATACTTAAATTGAAGCCAAACAATGATATCATTTTTTGATGAAACCAAATATTGATGTCATTTTTGTTGAAGCCCACATGCGCGTTTTGTGAACGCCTCAACATTCATCATTTTTGTAAACGAACCAAATCACTATTATCGTGGCGATATAAAACTCAGCTAAACTCCTGTCCTTCCTGGCAAGACATTTGATTTAATTTGCCATTATTGATATCAAAGCGGCAGAACTTTCACTCACAAAACTTCCAGGGCAGAGGAACGGCTGATCCAGATGCCACTCGAGCTGTTTGTGTCCAACGGTCTCAATCTGAAACAGATGACTGAGGTTGAACTGTAGATCAGTGTTGCTGCTATTCTGCTACACAGTGGTTGTGTCCAACACCCACCACCTAGTGATACACTAACGTTTGTTGACAGATCTCGCAGTATACAGTACACATCCTGCTGCAACGACTACCACATGCTGCGACCGCTGTTACTACTGCTTCTGCTGGTACTTCTCCTTCTACGCCCGCTACAACTACTACTAATACTACCCGCGAAGATCCGGGTCAGAACTGGTCTTCAGTAACCCATGCTTGTCGTAAGAGGCGACTAACGGGATCGGGTGGTCAGACTCGCTGACTTGCTTGACACATGTCATCGGTTCCCAATTGCGCAGATCGATGCTCATGTTGCTGATCACTGGATTGTCTGGTCCAGACTCGATTATTTACAGACCGCCGCCATATAGCTAGAATATTGCTGAGTGCGGCGTAAAACTAAACTCACTCACTCAATACTGCTGCTGGTATTCCTCCTTCTACGCTCGCTACAACTACTACTATTACTGCAATCTGAGAGCTGCAATCTGAGAATCTGGAACTACGGAAGCAGTATGCACTTCCACTACCACTACCACTACCACTACCACTACCACTACCACGACCACTACCACTACCACTACCACTACCACTACCACTACCACTACCACGACCACGACCACTACTACTACTGCAAATAATATTCATACTAATAATTATATTCATACAGCAAGGTGTTACTGCATTATTTCCTCAATTTGTTGTTAAACCGTTAATATGAAAATCGTCATGGTAGACACAAAAAGACGATGGATAATGAACGCTGTCATGTCAACACGCCAGTAGAAACAGATGGTAGGAAGACGTGGCAACTTCCGTCAGTAGCCTCCCTGTCGTCACATCATGGTCACTGACTTCACAGATGACCAGCTCAAACCCAATCGGACATTTGTGAGGGGAACGGGGACGTCGTGACCAGTAGGGCTGCGTAATATAACCGGTTTACCGGTATTTACCGGTTCACACTGGAAAACGATACGTATTGCGATACGCTGATCGAAAACCGGTATTTTGACATGCATTCGGAAAACTTCGTAACATTCGGTAATTTTGATGATCGTGGCAACTGTAGTAATGGTGGTGGGAATGATCGTGGTGAAAATTACATTTAACTGTATTGTTAAGTTCGGTTTGAAGTTGTGTTCTTAATTTTTGTTTAAGTGTTTCGCAATGTTTTGGATCTGAATGTTTTAAATATTTACTCAATTATGACCAGTGATCTCTGATATGTCCTGACTAGGTCAAGCTGCTGTCTAAATTATCCGGGCTTTCTTTTTGAGAGTGTATGAACTAGTTCAAACTAGTAACCGCTGTGTTGATGTTAAGGTGTTCTTTTCCTTGTTTCATTTGTGCCAAATATTATTTACATTTTTACTTTTTCCTGATTAAAAGGTTTTTTTATGGTTAATCAAGCATAGTAATTTGGGTTTGGTTTTGCTTTATAAATCAAGCAATACAATACATTGTAATACATATCGAAATATATGCTTTCGCATCGCAATATATCGCAATATGAAAATTCTCTGCAATACCCACCCCTTGTGACCACTACAACGTCACAGACACTGCAAGAGTGGCGTCCATCATTTACAGTATGCCATGATGATTGGGGAGTTCCCCCCGGTCCAATTTGTTATTACAATTCATTAACGTTGATGGTAAGATATTAATGAATCAGATGTATATTTCTGGTTTCATTCAATTCATGCTGTTATCTTTTTCCGTAAAATATATATCAGACAAATCAGTCGCCAATTATGACAGGCCACGTGTTACTGACCATGTTGTTCCACAGGGAGAGTGCGGCTGCGCCGTGACCTTTACCACTGAAGTGGAAGCAATCGGGGGAGAAGAAGGTCATGTCAATGTCACCTGGGGTGCCGGGCTGAAGAAGAAAGGTCAAGGTCACGGATGTATACCAACACCGGTCTGCGGCCGAATTAAACAAAGTATACAAACATGATGGTGTTTATTACGAACAATGAATGCTTATTAGGTAGAGACGTGTTTGATACGGGTACCATTGTTTTGTTTTGGGCCAATATGTTTCTTTGTTTCAACAGAGACCATATAATAGATATTATATGGTCCCTGGTTTCAAGGACTATTTATGTCATGTTTTGGTCAAATCCAGTTTTCACGTGCTTGTTTTTCCCCTGCATTTTACATACTGTGATAGAACATAAATGACTTCATGTATTTCAATTTATGTACTATATGCAAAACAGAAACAATCCCAAGATAGTTCAGTTTGCAGTATGGGTGGATGATATTCTGTGGAGCTTCACCATCTCTTTAAGATCCCACTTTTACTATATGCGTGAAGATTTAAGAATGAACGTCCAGAGGAAGGTGATTGGGTGGCTGGGTGACTGGTTGTTTCACTCACCTTGGCTGGAGGCTCTGTGTTGGTGAAGAAAGGCTGGAGTACAACGGTGAAGTCATCTCTCGTGTCATACCTGCCGGAGGCGACGAGAGTCGACAGCTCATGTTGGTAGGCATGTGCGAGGTCCCGCAAATAGCCAGCGTTGTTCCGATTGTCTCCACAGTCACAAACCAAGCTGTAAATACACGCCATGATATCAGCCAGTGTGCTTACTTTTCATTTTATAATTACGTTAGGAAAGTCTTGAAATTATTGTTGCTTCACAAGTTACTTGTCGTTGCTGTGTTGTTTGCGACACTCCATTTGATTGTGACGTAACTCAAAACCTGGTGTGATTTTGACGTAATACAACACTACATAGGACAGTGACGTAATAGAACACTGGATGTGATTGTGACGTGATACAACACATGAACAGATTGTGACGTCATACAACACTAGATATGATTGTGACGCCATACAACACTAGATATGATTGTGACGTGATACAACACATGAACTGATTGTGACGTCATACAACACTAGATCTGATTGTGACGTAATATAACAATTGAACTGATTGTGACGTAACACACTTGATGGTGACGTTAGACAGTAATTGACGTGATTATGATGTAAGACATCACTTGATTTGACAATGAACAGAACACTTCAAAAGATAATGGCTTTTTTTGCGAACATCTGGATCCATTAATCTGTGTGATCGATTTCTGAATATATTGTCACAAGACAGTCGGTATGGGAATAATGTAAACGGTTTTGGCACTCTTACTGAACAGTACTTGATAAAAAATGGACCTTAGTCATTAAACAGCCTCGAGCAACTTCATGCGAATCTGTTTGTATACCTGTTATCAGGTGCAGTACAACATACATGAGAAAATTAATTCAGATGAATTTACATATTCATAACCAACGTACATGCACATATTCAATGCGGATATAATAAGAATACGAACGCGTGGACAAAGCTGCAGAAGAACCCCGTGCTGAGGGCGGCGACGGGTGCGATGTCGAAGATGGTGGCGAGGTTGACGAAGGTGCGAGGTAGCTCCTTGTGGAAGAGGTCAAGGGCCTGGCGGATATTGGCGCCGTAGTTGCTGGCGGCGTACTTGGCCTGAGTGAGTGAGTGAGTTAGTGCGTGAGTGTTCTTTTACAGGACTGTAAGCATAATTCCAGGCAATATTCCAAGTCGGTAAATAAGCATCTGAATATCGACCCTATGTGGAATCCGAGTTCGATCTAGTACCCACTTTATCTGACGGGGTACCAGCATATGTTCCTTGGTGGACTAACCAACAAATGCCAAATAGCACGAGAAACCAAATATCGTTTAAATTGGTTGAATGTGTGTACAAGGATTTGGAATCAAAAGAGACAATAAATGCACCTATATATTGTAGATACAGTCAAACCATTTGAAATTACGAAAATACGTCGACTTATCCTGGATTCGAGACAGACACAAAAGGAAAGAGCTAAATAAATAAGTTTTACTTCTGGACAACCGTCAGTTCGGTGCATCAAAGTTCGACACAGGGGTGTTTGACTGAGTATGCAATGTAATATTGACAAGATGGCTTTGAATCCGGTAAATGATGAATCCGAGTCTAGAATGATCCAACCCTTCTGGATACAAGACTACGTCAGTCAGGTTGAGACCACGGAATATTCATTTCAGCAGGGGTCCCAACAAGAGCAGGGGTGGAAATAACTTTAAAATTGCTAGTGTACTCCGGTACAGTGGCACATGTAAAATCACTTGCCCTTATAATTTTTCCACTATACCGGCCGTTTCCTTGTTGAATTTTAAAATAAACAACATAATTAATATTGGAAAGTCAACTGGACACCGGTACAGTGTGATATACAAATTTGCTTCCCGACAGAAAAAAACACTGGACTCGGCCGTCGGGCAATGGGTTATTTCCACCCCTGAAGAGTAATATGTTTTGTATGTAATGTTTTGGAATGTGCATGGATCTATCTTATGGTTTCTATCTAGACAGGATTTCATTATTTTAATGAAGCTCATACAAACGGGGAATACACCACATGGCAATGTCTGTCCAGAAACTCACTGTGTCGTGGCAGGAGTCGCAGAGGTCGTTGCCGCCAACGAAGACGGTGATGACTTTCCAGTCATTGAGAAAATCGACGTTCTTGTCGGCCTTCATTTTGTCTATCAACAGTCGTGCCTGTTCGGGCATGTCACTGAAATATAGTAATATTTCTATTACGATACTTTTGTAGATTCAGCGGTGATTAATGACCAGAGACATTTTGTAGTTGCTGTATTTCAGCTGGTATGGACAACCGTCAGTTCGGTGCATCAAAGTTCGACACAGGGGTGTTTGACTGAGTATGCAATGTAATATTGACAAGATGGCTTTGAATCCGGTAAATGATGAATCCGAGTCTAGAATGATCCAACCCTTCTGGATACAAGACTACGTCAGTCAGGTTGAGACCACGGAATATTCATTTCAGCAGGGGTCCCAACAAGAGCAGGGGTGGAAATAACTTTAAAATTGCTAGTGTACTCCGGTACAGTGGCACATGTAAAATCACTTGCCCTTATAATTTTTCCACTATACCGGCCGTTTCCTTGTTGAATTTTAAAATAAACAACATAATTAATATTGGAAAGTCAACTGGACACCGGTACAGTGTGATATACAAATTTGCTTCCCGACAGAAAAAACACTGACTCGGCCGTCGGGCAATGGGTTATTTCCACCCCTGAAGAGTAATATGTTTTGTATGTAATGTTTTGGAATGTGCATGGATCTATCTTATGGTTTCTATCTAGACAGGATTTCATTATTTTAATGAAGCTCATACAAACGGGGAATACACCACATGGCAATGTCTGTCCAGAAACTCACTGTGTCGTGGCAGGAGTCGCAGAGGTCGTTGCCGCCAACGAAGACGGTGATGACTTTCCAGTCATTGAGAAAATCGACGTTCTTGTCGGCCTTCATTTTGTCTATCAACAGTCGTGCCTGTTCGGGCATGTCACTGAAATATAGTAATATTTCTATTACGATACTTTTGTAGATTCAGCGGTGATTAATGACCAGAGACATTTTGTAGTTGCTGTATTTCAGCTGGTAAACAACTGATCTGTAAAATAATCGAGTCTGGACCAGACAATCCAGTGGTCAACAGTATGAGCATCGATCTACGCACCTCAAGCCGGGACGTTTTTCAGGCCACGTTAGCGACTGAATATGTGCAGCCCGCAGCGTGTCTATGGAGATGTGTATCACTGTGTAGATAGGAATTGGCGTTTGACACCCAAAGAGTCTCCCCACCTAGTGGCTGATACGGTTCCACGACTTGCCGCAAAACGTCCCTCACGGTAACGGATACCAATGCCGCTACCGTCAAGGTGGAAGAGGTGATGATCAGTACTGTCAAACGTGAGTCCCACGCCATACAGACCACTTACGTCCATATAACATTCGTAGAACGCCGCCAAACACGGGGTCATGAAGTATAGCAACGAAAGAGAATCATTTATCGGTTATATCCCAAAACGTCCACATCCCAAAACTTCCACATCCCAATACTACCACACATTGTTCATACAAATACTCCTCGTCAACCCTTTTTAGGTAATAGGATAGCCAACTACTCCTCGTCCACCCTTTTTAGGTAACAGGATAGCCCAGGAAGTGTACTGAACTGAAACAACAGGTAATGATACATCACACCTGTTTTAGCAGAGAGGAGATTTTTGTAGAGAAGACAGCAGTTAGTTAATAATCTGAAATATATATATAATATAAATTTGTGCATATTTCATGTAGGTAAAACTTTTTAATAAGTTGTTTTCTTGTTTTACCTTGAAATGTATTTGATTACGTTCATAGAATTCTGAATATGCAAAACATAAATTATGCAAGCTTAATGTACATTTGATGTACATGTATGTCAAAATATGTAGTTTTACAATATAAGGAGTTTTCAAATTTTATATTTTATTGCTTAAAAGGGACCAACAAGCCAAACAATTCCTTTCAATTCTGATTTGCAAATATAAAGTAATATGTACCGAAAAATTCGAAATGAGAATATGAATTTATTATGCCTACTTGAGGCTCTACTACCAAATATACTTGCAATACCAAATCCAGGCATAAACACATAAATCAAGTTTAATTAAATCAGGAAATTGATAACGTTATGGTATGGACACTGGACAATTTTAATAGTAGCCAGTTTCATGTGTTTACTTTAAAAGATACTTTAATGAAATTTGTCAATCAGATATTTCAGAATGTTTAAAGATTATGTAATAGGCAAAAGATTTACATATTGATGTCCCTGTCATGTATAAAACAGGTAAAGACTGCATGCTACGGCAGTGACACTGTCACAGTATATAATGCTCCAACAACAGTACAGAGTGACAGGGTTATGACTGTCAAATGTGCGGGTGAAATCTTGGACACTTTAGGACATAAGTTTCATACAGATTTCTACATAGGCTGTTATATGTAACTACGGCGCATGCGTCAAAAGAGACACTGTGACGTGTTCACGTCGAGCTGAAGAAAATGAGCCTTTTTGGTTTCAAAACTGATTTTTTAGCAATGTACTGATGAACAAGTGTCACCAGAAATGCTCTAGTAAGTAGTATTGAACCGAAATATCACAGATCGAGTATTTTTGAAGACTTTTGAAACGAAGCACATTTCAAGTGGTGAGACACTGATAGTTGTCAATAGCTGTCACTCAGTTGCCTATCACCGATTGCACGTGAGAAATGGGAGACTCACTTATGAGCTGGCGTGGTCACATCGGTTGCTTTTCAAAACGTAGACGAAATCGACAAAGACCTGTGAAAACTTTGAATATTTCTGGACAATTTATGACAAGACAATTGCAATTTTATCTCATCCTGAACCTTTTTCTTCACGTCAGTACCACAAATTGTTAGATGCATGAGCCATAAACTTAGTGTACAGCAATATCGATATGATAAAAATGTAAATACCGAATTACTGAAGTGTACAAAATGTAATTATAATGTCATTCAAGATGAATTTTACTTTTTATTGGTCTGTCCATACTATGATGAAAGCAGGAGACTGTTGTTACCAAGTTATTTTTATACCTATCCCACACATGAAAAGTTTAATTTGTTAATGTCTTCGCAAAATCTAGTATGCTTAAAAGTCTTGCAATCTTTTTGAAACGGAGTCTACCAATTTAATTTCTAGTACATGTAAATAATCACTTCGATGTCCATGCGCACTAAAATTATGGAAAGAGTTCCTTCCGTTCCCCCAACTCTAAACCAAACTCTAAACCTAACCCTAAACCTAAACCTAAACCTAACCCTAAACCTAGTCCTAACTTAAATTTTAGACTTTTAATCATTTTGGGAGTTCTCTAGTAATTGTTGTGTTAAGTTTTGTTTATAATTCTAGAATATTTATACATATTATTTGGGATGGGGGAACGGGAGGACTCTTACCAAAATGATGTATATACACTTTGTACTATTGGCCACGAGGCCTTGAATATGAATAAACTTCTTATATGTATCTAGAAAAGATATGTATTTTTGTTAATAACCCTGACTTAATAAAATATATAATTTATTACTATGTGACAGTTTGTATTCATTACCGATTAATGTGCTAAACCATTACAGACTGCGGTAATGCAGTATGATGAAGTGTTTGCAATCAACCAGAAATGTTGTTATAAGCTGTGGAAGTTATGGGATGTGGAAGTTTTGGGAGGATACCCTACAAACAATTTTCAATCATGATCAAGAATTTGCTACCCTTTGTAAACATGAACAATTCATGAACAGATGTCCAGAAACAAATTGCCATCATACAATGTTTAAAAAATCCCGTGTAGTACCTCAGTCTCCTCACTCTCCTTATGGTTTCCATGTCAATATACTACATGTTTTTTCCCAGTGAAATTGTTACAAACAATGTACATCATTTATATGTGAAATGTATGTGCGTATTTCTATATCTTTGTACCTACTGTGTTTATGTATGCAGTTTATAGAATATTGCCACTGTTCCTTCATGGAAGTTATGCAATAAATATCTGATATTGTCGTACCAGTACTTGGACTCAACGCTAAACGTATCATGACGTCACAGACGGAAATCTTAACCCATACTGCCGTATCCGTACTAAACGTACACGTCTGTACGCAGTGGTCAGTCCAATTACGATCACGTCATATGTTCGTCCATGAACTCAGTGTTTACTTTTGAAATGTATCATGGACTGACCCTCACGGCAATAAGTCGTCACGTGGGGGTAGGGGTGGGGGTGTTTGGGGGTTTCCCACATCTCAGCTTATCGTCTCCTGTTGATATTCCACCGTCGTGGCATGGCACGTGGTGAATTCGCACAGTCTGTTGTTGTATACACGCTCCGACACAATGCTAATTAACTGCACTTCTGTGCCATCGCTGTTCTGAACTCTAATGCCTCGCCATATTTCCTCAACACTTAGGTGACGATACACCTTCTGTGTTTACCAACATCTCACACAATGCTTACACGCGCACGTGACTTTCAGAGTATGTTTTGTCTGCATTCAGCTGGTTTCCATAGCTACCGTTTCCCTTTCTATCCATCCGTATATGTCACATGTTTGTAAAATAATGGTGCAGAGTTTCCAGTTTTAGGTCAACAAAATTAGGCTTGGTTCAGGGTCATTTGTGATTCTGATAAAGGCATATCCGACTGAAGAAAAATTGTTCAAGTTACTCCCTCCAATACAATACAAGTGTTGATTAGCAACTGGTACACCATGGAACAGATGCCTGTGGTTTCAGGAGTGAGTGAGTCACATCGGCAGTGTTTCAGCCATATCGTGACTGTGGCGTGAGGAGTCGTTGCCAGAATGACCTCTACGTAAAAAAGGAAACTTTTTTCACATCGTCAAAACAATAACAATTTTAGAAACATAGTTTTCAGGAATGTCAACAGGTCCACAAGACAAATAGTACCATTTCAAAAACCAGAGGTCAAATTGTTATTTTCCACCTTGAAAAGTCTGAGGGGCAAAAGCAATCACACCAAACTGTTTTATGCAATAGAAAATTGAAAGAACTGTTATGAAATTTAATGATGTTTATTCACATCACTTATTTGTTAAGCGTTATTTACATGTTACAAAGTTCAGATGTCCAACGTACAACAGTTGCGTTTTATGCGTATATATAATAATAGACGTTTCAAAAGTTTTATATTGAATTATATTATTAAAATACATAACGCAGATCAATTAAAGTACAATGTATACGTTTTGGTATAATATCGTTAACTTACAATATGTTTAAATGAGTGAATAAAAAAAATTCCTAAGTAGTGTGGTTTCTTTTGCCCCTCAGTATATGACGTATACTTACAATGACGTATCTCCTGGATCAGCTAGATTGAACATAGCATTGGCGCTGCTCTGTCCTCCCGTCTTCAGGGAATAGCCGTACACATTCCTGTCAAACTTTTTTAAAATGTCTGAAAATAATACGTACTATTGGACCACGGACGGAACACAAGCTGGCATCTGAATTGCACTTGACGCCATTAAAGCAGTTCGGTAAAGAAAGGTGAGCTACAGTCCCTACGTTAACATTTGTTCGAATTTGTATTTATTAAGAATCGGTAATCTACGTGAATAAAAATATATAGTTGGCTGTCCTGGAAAAAAACAGGTATGTGGAAATCTGATAACGTTTTCTTGACCTAATATATACATGTTTGTGTGGCTAAGATTGGGGTCAGGGGCCACTGTGTCGATTCCTGTGAGAATATCGCAGCCTGCTCATTTCGACATCGAGTTAACATGAGGCACCGGTACTCGAGTATCCGGACACCTCGAAGGTCTGGATACTGTTAGAACGGACGCTTTCTTCATGGAGGAACCACTCATTAATGTGAAAACCTGGTTCTCTGTTAACTTGGGGAAAGGCAAACCTACTTTGATATCCGGAACTTCAACACATTTACTGATGTGGGTCAACGTTATGACGCTGTCCATTGTCCTATCAGACACATGAAAACAATACATAGGGAATACACATTATAGTGTGTCTGTCGAATCAGTCTGGAATGAAATGGCCTCCTAATTGCTATACTACCTTCTAGTCTCTGAAATGACCATATTTTACCAAACAAAACGGAGTTTAAATTATTTTCATAAAAGATAATAAAATGAGTCCAGAGACATTTCTTCTTTTTCAGACACTGCATTAGTCTGGACTTGCCACATGTTCTAGACTTTGGGTATATTGCACTGGGTATATTTGTTCCAGGGTTTGCATGAAAGACTATAGTCCGTTTGGCTCAAAAGCGGACCGATGAATTGCAATCTAACTCGAAAACTAATAAACATAAAATACTCAATGAAACGCTGATCATAATCAAAACATCATACCCACTCTGTGAGGTTTTTGCAGAATTTTTGTCCTAAAAATAATAAAGTTGTTTAACAATCTATCATTACTATATTGACACAGTTCACTATTTGTTACGAGGGAGGAGTGCAGAGAAAGGGATAGCCAGGTGTTCGAGAACGGATGGAGTCGGCACAGCACAGGTTAATGAATAATAACTTTGTCTGTGAACGTGCTTCTCGAACACCTGGCTGCCCCTTTCTCTGCACTCCTCCCTCGTAACAAGCAGTGAACTGTGTCAATATTTTAATGATAGATTGTTAAACAACTTTTTTATTTTTATGACAAAAATTCTGCAAAAACCTCACAGAGTGGGTATGATGTTTTGATTATGATCAGCGATTTCACCAAACAATGCATCGTATGGGGTCATTTGAAATTCAATAATACGTCGAAATATACTCCCGGACAAAAGAAAGTATACACTTAAAATGGATTTGGCAAAAAAATGCAAACGTTACTAGGCTGAAAACAATCGGCACAAAACAGCAAACTTTAGTTCCGAGAAACGGTTATCGTGATGAATCTTGTCAGAGACATCGCCATCCAATAGCCATTTTTTCGTTTGTTTCTTTTTAGGGCACAAGCGGACATAGGAGTGTATTTTCTTCTTGTCGGATGTTTACAAACTTACTTGGCAGAGTGAGCTCCCCTGTCTCTAGGCTACCATCCCCGCCGATACTGCAATATAAATGTCAGGTCATTAAATAACGTTGTAGGAGACATAAGAAAACTATTTTTAATAACTAGGTTATATATCAACATCGAGTTTGATATCAGTTAATGTTGAGTTTTGATTCCGGGGAACAGTTGGTCAAATGTTACATACATTTTGCAAACTGATTTCACAATATTCACTCACAAACTTACGTAGTACAGTCACCTATTTGGTGGGAAACACATCCACAGATAAACTAATATGTGTGTGACGTACACTGTGACGTATTTGAGTTCGTACCTCCATGAAAGTCCACGGTATTCCACGAGGTCACCAAGGATGTTGCTGGCGTCAATGCCGTTACCTGCCTATACCGAAAACATAAGATCAGCTGAAGTGTGACCAATGAACTGTCAAAATGATGATTTTCACATTTTTATTTGTTTTCCTCCTCTAGCAACATTCTTCGGAATACCCAAACACTTTCTATTACCTGATCATTAACATTTCTTGTTGAGTATATATATGATTATATACAGTGCATCGCCCACAGCTATACCTACCGTGAGGGAATCTCCAATAGAGCCCACGACCTTGATATCACCAGGGTGAAGGTTATGGACTAAAACAGAACTATCATTTGTTAGGGTACACCAATGGCTTGCTTCTATTAATTTCTCAATTATTTATGATATACTAGTGTACATCTATGAAATCTCGAGGACCTTCTTACCTTGGATTTGCCTGGGAATATCTCATGACGAAGAATGTTCAATATTTACATTCCAGGTACTGAATTATGAATATGATGATGTGTAAACAAATCACACTGTTTTGGTCAGTAAGTAAGTACTGGCTAACATTTTCATGTGAAACAGGGGCGGTGGGGTAGCCTAGTAGTAAAGGCGTTCGCTCGTCACGCCGAAGATTCGAGTTCAATTTCCCACATGAGCACAATGTGTGAAGCCCATTTCTGGTGTCCCCTACCGTGATATTGCTGGAATAGTGTTGCGTAAATAAGTGGCGTAAAACAAACTCACTCACTCACTCATGTAAAACAATACAGTAGGCGGTTCTTAAAGTTTTCCAAATAAGAAAAGTACGTGGTTTGTCTGGTCCAGACTCGACAGCGTTATAGTTCGTCAACAGCATATACAACGTCATACAACCACAACACCAGTTTACTCCCAGTTTAATCTGCATAGATTCAGTATCAGGCGGAACTAGCAAGGTGACCGCTGAGAATAGGTTTTCTTGTGGTTGTTTCCCAAGACTTACTACTACTCACCACCACCCCCGAGTGGACTATCCTCAAAACCACTCAGAATAAACTATCCTCATCTCCACCCCGAGTAGGCTATCCTCACCCCAATCCCGATTAGACTACCCTCCCCTACTATCGCCACTTCCTGATCCATCTAAAGATAATTCCATTGTCGTATTTCGTATATATTCGGAGGTTTCCGTGAATGTAACTATGAATAAGAACTAGCCAATCAGTTACTAAAGCATCAGTAGCGATACCTGTTTAACCTGTTATTGACTGACAACACTATGCTGAGACCGGATGTTACTGACCGGAAGTTGCGTCACGCCCTCCCCACGGCGTGGTGGTGTGGCAGTTGAAGTTTGGGACGGGATACCTGTAAACAGCCCGCTTCTGCTGCAGAATGAAGCATTGTTTGACATAAGAACATTACCATGAAATAGTATTAGCTTGTTGTCAGGCTCGAGACCAAATGGCTTCAATATAAAAACGGGTTTCTATATGACGTTGGTCAAGATCATCCAAAATGTTCGATGGAGTTTGGATTGTTTAGGTATCAATCACTCCCGATCAGGCACGTCGGAAAATTTCAATTGGTAATACTTTTCATATATGTACTTTTTCTATTTTCGTTGTTGTTTTGGGGGTGTTTTTTGTTTTTGTTTTTTGTTATTATTTTTTTTTATCTATTAAATGTTATTTTATTTTATTTTATTTTTGTTTTATTTTCTTCTTTTTTATTTATTTGTGTGGGGTGGATGGTTGCGGGTGGGGGGTGGATGTGGTACTTAAAGCAAAGTAGCACATGTATTGCCAACATATTATCATTATCATTCGTACAAGAAGGTGTATCACTCCTCTAAAGGCGATTCTGCGTGTGCGTGTATGGTTCCGTGTGCGTTACCTCCAGCATGGCGGTGTAGTTGTTGAGATGTTCCTGCCATAGCTCCAGCAACACGGGACTGTTGGGGAGCAGGTGCTTGTAGAAGTTCACCAGACGCTGATAGGAGGGGGACGAGATAGCTGCAAGTGAGTGACATCTCAGGACCAATCAAATATATTTTACTTCATTATATCTTTACTTTACCCCGTCGTGTTTCTAGGCGTGTCAGTACTATAACCAGCCCTGCGGGTTTCACAAGTGGAAGGCCTATATCACTTTGGGATTTCCTCCCACGTCAAATTGACACTTTGTCATGTAACGGCAATAAGTGGCGTTCAATTAACTCATTTTAACTTGACACATATTTGAAGAGTTTCCAATATAACTGAAACGACCTTGGTATTTCGACGGACAAGAGGAGACGTATAGATACCACTGATATCGGTCGTGTGTTGGAGTCGCTACGTCAGACCTTACGCACCTGTCAAATCGCGCACGAGTTTGACGTAACTAACATCCTAAAAAAACTGTCAACACCTGCCGACATTTGAGACACCTGCTTAAATACAAAACTGTGACAGCGAGTGAGTGTCGAATATCCGGTGTAATTGATATTTTTAGACGAAAGCGTGAGTTTGAGGTCATCTGGCCGAATCACATACATAAATACATACATACAGCTATATAGATAGATAGATATCTGCGTTGACACCACGACCGTGAAGTGTGCCTCCTATCTTCTTACCTATTGTGTGCTACATGCGATCTGACGTGACCATTAGAAAACAAGAAATGGCGGATGCCCGCGTCTAAAGACTAGGACGTTATACACTTTTTTAATGTATTTTTTTAATTTTAAAAACTCATTACGACCAACAGCAAGGCATTGCATGTCCAGACTCACATTTCTCAGCATTAGCTCCAAGGAACGCTGCTACGAGAACAACCGCTAACATCGCCATGGTGACCGCCTGGTGGGAATGAACGTCTGTACGTGTTGTTTTATATCGCTGACACTCCCATGGTCTTATCTAAGACGCCGATATTGTGTTCTTGTCGGATTCTTTTGGAAGAATAAGGCCATCGGTTTACGCCAAAACTGAAATCTGTGTTTTTATATTTTATTTATAAATTCTTTATATCGTGCGGGCAGAGTGAGTGAGTGAGTTTGGTTTTACACCGCTTTTAGCAATATTCCAGCAATATCACGACAGGGTACACCAGAAATGGGTAAACACATTGTACTCATAGGGGGAATCAAACTCGGGTCTTTGGCGTGACGAGCGAACGCTTTAACCACTAGACTACCCCACCGCCACTGTGCGGACGGAACAAGGGTGTCATTCTGGTTCTAGACTCCGGCTTTCATCACGAACAGTTATATCCCGTTAGTCACGTGAAACAGATTCAATGTACCGTTATGTCCAATATTAACATGCCAACATTCAAAGAAATGGCATACCCTAACAATTTGAAGGATCATTAAAGACAATGCATTCATCGCATTCATTGTATGATCAGTAACATATTATGTCAACACACTGTACATCAACCTCTTCAATTGTTTAAACTCAAATACCCGTCATGTATATATTTCTCCTTGTGCATATGTTGTGTTTCATTTGCTTGATAACGGTGTTAGGATCTACAAGGAAACGTCACATCCACTGCAATAAAGAAGCCGTCTATCCATAAACAGTGTTCCTCCTCAACATACCAGCTTCTAAATGACACTTAAGGAGGTGAGGTGAGGTGAAATTGGGTTTAACGTCGTGCTTGGGAATATTTCGCTCATATGACGACGTGCATGCATGTGTATGTGTATGTGCGGCTGCTTGTACTAGCCCAGACTGAAGCTGGTTTTATAGTGCTAGTCCACTGAGATACCATGCCGCAGTGAAGCATGAATACCCCACTCACACACATTATACTGACTCCGAGCTGACCAGTCCTTGTTGTACCCATTAATGCCGAGCGCCAGGCAGGGACCAACAAGTACCATATTTTAACGTCTTTTGGTAGCCATTTAAGGAAGTAACATTATGGAACCTGCAAAATATACGCATGTGCTTTAATCACAATGATCGGCAAGTAACAAGAGAAATATAGATGTTTAGGATATCTCCGCAGTTTACAACACCCTCTTTATAAAACTACTGCCGCTTCTTTTGACTATTGCATTGTAGGTTGTCTTCACCCATATGACCAGCGTCAGGCACGCCGGAGGTTGAAGATGTTGATGGGGCTTGTGATAAAAAGACCAGCATCAAGGTATATGGCCTATTGAAACCGGCGGGGTCTTGGCACAATATCAAAAGAAAAGGAAATAACGAGGCCAAGACAAGTTTGTTCAAGGACGCATTTACCGTTGATCACTGTAAACACCTCCATAAAGCTACCTACGTATTTTGAAGTCAAGATGTAGCTACAAAATGAGATGACAAGAATCAAAGCCTTGCTGAGGGAGCTGCCGTCTTCAGAAGCTCAAAATATAGTGACCTTTGCGATTCAAGGCCAAAATCTCAGCTCAGGGCTTGTAAAGCTTACTGACCGAATTTACCGTTTGTTGTATCATGGGCCACGTATCAAAACAGGCTGAATCGATGACACCTGTTTATTCTATTTATAGTCAAATAAGATCACTGGCTTTTTTCAGTGCGGGGCAGATCAAAACCAAGATCGTCAAAGACGAACATGCGCGGACACAGCTTAGTAGTTGTGACAGAAATAGTGGTATTGGTAGTAACAGTCGTAGTAGTTGGAGTCGAAGTAGAAGTAGCCGTTGTCGTCACTGGTGGTGGTGATGATGTAGAAACAGTAGTTGAAGATGTGAAATTGGGTTTAACGTCGTGCTTGAGAATATTTCGCTCATATGACGACGTGCATGCATGTGTATGTGTATGTGCGGCTGCTTGTACTAGCCCAGACTGAAGCTGGTTTTATAGTGCTAGTCCACTGAGATACCATGCCGCAGTGAAGCATGAATACCCCACTCACACACATTATACTGACTCCGAGCCGACCAGTCCTTGTTGTACCCATTAATGCCGAGCGCCAGGCAGGGACCAACAAGTACCATATTTTAACGTCTTTTGGTAGCCATTTAAGGAAGTAACATTATGGAACCTGCAAAATATACGCATGTGCTTTAATCACAATGATCGGCAAGTAACAAGAGAAATATAGATGTTTAGGATATCTCCGCAGTTTACAACACCCTCTTTATAAAACTACTGCCGCTTCTTTTGACTATTGCATTGTAGGTTGTCTTCACCCATATGACCAGCGTCAGGCACGCCGGAGGTTGAAGATGTTGATGGGGCTTGTGATAAAAAGACCAGCATCAAGGTATATGGCCTATTGAAACCGGCGGGGTCTTGGCACAATATCAAAAGGAAAAAGGAAATAACGAGGCCAAGACAAGTTTGTTCAAGGACGCATTTACCGTTGATCACTGTAAACACCTCCATAAAGCTACCTACGTATTTTGAAGTCAAAAGATGTAGCTACAAAATGAGATGACAAGAATCAAAGCCTTGCTGAGGGCTGCCGTCTTCAGAAGCTCAAAATATAGTGACCTTTGCGATTCAAGGCCAAAATCTCAGCTCAGGGCTTGTAAAGCTTACTGACCAGATTTACCGTTTGTTGTATCATGGGCCACGTATCAAAACAGGCTGTATCGATGACACCTGTTTATTCTATTTATAGTCAAATAAGATCACTGGCTTTTTTCAGTGCGGGGCAGATCAAAACCATGATCGTCAAAGACGAACATGCACGGACACAGCTGAGGAGTTGTGACAGAAATAGTGGTATTGGTAGTAACAGTCGTAGTAGTTGGAGTCGAAGTAGGTAGTAGCAATAGAAGTAGAAGTAGCCGTTGTCGTCACTTGTGGTGGTGGTGATGTAGAAACAGTAGTTGAAGATGTGAAATTGGGTTTAACGTCGTGCTTGAGAATATTTCGCTCATATGACGACGTGCATGCGTGTGTATGTGTATGTGCGGCTGCTTGTACTAGCCCAGACTGAAGCTGGTTTTATAGTGCTAGCCCACTGAGATACCATGCCGCAGTGAAGCATGAATACCCCACTCAGACACATTATACTGATTCCGAGCCGACCAGTCCTTGTTGTACCCATTAATGCCGAGCGCCAGGCAGGGACCAACAAGTACCATATTTTAACGTCTTTTGGTATGACGCGATCGGGGATGGAACCCGCGACCTTCCGCTCTCCGGGCGGACGCTCTAACCACTACACCACGGAGGCGGTCAGTAGTTGAAGAAGTGTGAAGTAGCTGGGTGCATGTGTTTGTGCGTGCGTGCGTGCGTCAGAGTGTGTATGGCAGTCTGTACTAGTCCGGCCCTACTCTGGTGTTTTACTGTTAGTCCACTGATATACCGGAGTAAAACATGCACATCATATTCCCGGACGCACACACAAAGTCAGAGCAGAGCTAGTCTGTCTTTGTTTATCCTCTCAACGGCAGCACTGTGGAATATCTGCAAATATGTTAATCAAAACCAAGACCATAAAAATAGGCAAGTCTAGTAAGATATAGGAAATTGGCAAAAGAAGCACTCTTTTGGAAGAATGTGTTGTGTAATGAGTCCATCGTCTGAGTGTTGGCCAGACAGACGTTGTGTTCACCGTTATGAGATATTTTACATGCGCTTGGTTTGATAAGTACACCTTCAAGTTCCCACAACCAAAGGCAGGTCAGTTTTGTGTTTATTGTTGCCACACTCAGCAATATTCTCGGCGTTCTCTAATAATCTAGTCTATACCAGACAATCCAGTGATTGACATCGTGAGCATCAATCTACGCAATATGGATACGACGTGCGAGAAAACTAAGTTAGCGAGCCTGACCACCCGATCCCGTTAGTCGCCTTTTACGAAAACCATGGTAACCTGAAGACACGTGGAATAAGTCGTCATGGTGACCGGTTCCTGGCATTAACCATGAGTATGGTTAAGATTTACCGTCGCTGTCAACACACTTTTAGACAGATCGCCTGGCGAGAACAGAAATGAGGGAGATAAGTCATGTGATCGACATGATTCATGATTAGCAGCTAATCTGGGATTCGAACACACTACTTGCAGAGCTACGACACGCAACTCTGCACAACCAATACCATCGTCTGAAAACACATGTTCCAACGTGCCACACTCACCACAGACTGACGTACAATGGAACACCCATCGCTTGTTTCATAGATTTAACTGACAAGCAGTGATATAATGGGGGCATCTCCAACCACGTTGTATAGACTCACTCACTTATTTGTGTAGATATGGAAGACGAGCATTTGTTTCAGATGAAACCAAGTGTGACTTTTCAAAGCTAATATATCTTTTTGACAACTGTTGACATCTCATAAACTATATATAGTCCTCGCTTCTTGAAACTGATTCACGAAGATTCGCGGTTATTTTTTACGAAAACATAATCACAGGATTGTCTAGCCCAGACTCGATTTATAGACCGATGTTTATTGACCAAATAATGTTTAGCGCAATATTAAACAACAAACAAAATAAAAACATGCTAAGTTCGGGTTGTCCAGTTGTACCCAATGATAACCATATAACACCCGTCTACCCGTCTATTCAGACCGGTCCACATACACAGCACTTTAAAACATCATCAACAGATCCCCCAACGAGCCCTGCACAACTTGGTATATGTTTTCTATGACTCCAAACTCAATCTGGATCATGTTTAGCAAGTTCAGCAGTGGAAAAAAATGTAGAGAAATTTAATGTGTTGGTAAAAAAAGATATCATAGACGAGATATCATTCAACAGCACGTGCATCGATGTCCATGAGTCAAGAAATATTTCTACTAAGGTACCGTTCATAATTTTTGGCAGGGGGTGGGTGTGTGTGGGGGGATGATGATTTTTATACAGAAGCATGTACAATGTGAATGACCCCCCTAATATTTACGTACAGAGTGCCCCCCCTTGCATATTGT